CTTAGCCGTCCTTAAGCATCCCTAGCTATCCCTAGCCGTCCTTAAGTATCCCTAGCCATCCTTAGCCGTCCTTAAGCATCCCTAGCTATCCCTAGCCGTCCTTAAGCATCCCTAGCCATTCTTAGTCGTACTTAAGCATCCCTAGTCATTCTTAGCTGTACTTAACCATCCCTAGCCATCGTTAGCCGTCCTAAGGTATCTCTAGCCATCCTTAGCCGTACTTAAGCATCGCTCTTCTTCCTTAGCCGTACTTAAGCATCCCTAGCTATCCTTAGCCGTCCTTAAGCATCCGTAGCTCTCCCTAGCCGTCCTTAAGTATCCCTAGCCATCCTTAGCCGTTTTTAAGCATCCCTAGCCATCCTTAGCCATCCTTAAGCATCCCTAACCATCCTTAGCCGTCCTTAAGCATTCCTAGCCATCCCTACCCATCCTTAAGTATCCCTAGCCATCCGTAACCGTACTCAGGCATCCCTAGCCGTACTTAGATGTACTTAAGCATCCCTAGCCATCCTTAGCTGTACTTAAGCATCCCGAGCCATCCCTACCCGTACTTAAGCATCCCCAGTCATCCTTAGCCGTCCTTAAGTATCCCTAACCGACCTTAGCCGTCCTTAAGCATCTCTAGCTATCCCTAGCCGTCCTTAAGTATCCCTAGCCATCCTTAGCCGTCCTTAAGCATCCCTAGCTATCCCTAGCCGTCCTTAAGCATCCCTAGCCATCCTTAGCCGTCCCTCAGCATCCCTAGCCATCCTAAGGTGTACTTAATCATCCCTAGCCATCCTTAGACGTACTTAAGCATAGTTAGCCATCCTTAGCCGCTCTTAAGTATCCCTAGCCATCCTTAGCCGTCCTTAAGTATCCCTAGCCATCCTCGGCCGTACTTAAGCATCCTAGCCTTACCTAGACGTACTTAAGCATTCCTAGCCATCCTTAGCCGTCTTTACGCATCCCTAGCCAACCTTAGCCGTCCTTAAGTATCCCTAGCCATCCTTTGCCGTCCTTAAGCATCCCTAGCCATCCTTAGCCGTCGTTAAGCATCCCTAGCCATCCTCAGCCGTCCTTAAGCATTCCTAGCCATTCTTAGCCGTCCTTGAGTATCGCTAGCCATCCTTAGCCGTACTTAAGCATCCGTAGCCTTACTTAGACGTACTTAGGAATGCATAAGTACAGTTAAGGATTGCTAAGGATGCTTAAGTAGGGCTAAGGATGGCTAGGGATACCTAACGACGGCGAAGGATGGCTCGGGATGCTTAATTACGGTTAAGAATGACTAGAGATGCCTAAGTACGGCTGTAGTGTATTGATCTCCATAACAACCATATCACACCATATGCTGTACAATAGTTACATTGTGTGACAACTGCATGCTGTAAAACTACTGTTCCTGAGTACCTGTAAATTGTAACATATAAGGGAATAACCACGTGCAATAAAGGGGGAATTACACATGTGAAAGGGACGAGAGTACTTATCGTTGGAACCCTTAAATGACAACTCTACAACGGCCAAGGATGGCTCGGGATGCTTAACAACGGTTAAGGATGACTGGGGATGCCTAAGTACGGCTACGTACGGCTAGGGATAGCTAGGGGTGCTTAAGTACAGCTACGGATGGTTAGGGATACTTAAGTAGGGCTAAGGGTGGCTTGGGATGCTTAAGTAGGGCTAAGGATGGCTTGGGATGCTTAAGTAGGGCTAAGGATGGCTGGAGATGCTTAAATAGGGCTAAGGATGGCTTGGGATGCTTAAGTACGGCTAAGTACGGCTGCAGATTATTAAGTACAAATAAGGATGGCTAGGGATACTTAAGTAGAGCTAAGGATGGCTTGGGATGCTTAGGTACGGCTAAGTACGGTTAGGGATGCTGAAGTACGGCTAAGTATGGCTAGGGGTGCCTAAGTACAGCTAAGGATGGCTAGGGTTGCTGAAGTACGGCTAAGTATGGCTTGGTATACTCAAGTACGGCTAAGTATGGTTAGGGGTGCCTAAGTACAGCTAAGGATGGCTAGGGATGCTTAAGTACGGCTAAGTATGGCTTGGCGTTCTCAAGTACGGCTAAGTATGGCTAGGGGTGCCTACGTACAGCTAAGGATGGTTAGTGATACTTAAGTACGGCCAAGGATTGCTCGGGATGCTGAAGTACGGCTAAGTATGGCTAGGAATGCCTAAGTACAGCTGAAGATGGCTAGGTATACTTAAATACGGCTAAGGATGGCTTGGGATGCTTAAGTACGGCTAAGTATAGCTATGGAGGGTTAAGTGCGGCTACGTATGGCTATGGACGCTAAAGAACGGCTAAATATGGCTACGTGGTAATATCAACTTAGTTGAAATTGTAAATTGGCCACCGTAAAGTAGGCCTTTATAGATTATGCTAGCATAATTTTTGGCATAATTTGAGCAAACTGGCATAATTTCTGCCAAGTAGCAATGCTAGCATAATTCGCATATTTTGATAATTATCGGATCATTTTTTATGCTACAATTTGATCATTGTTCTTCTCTACTCCCAAGCACTGTGACGTCATTCGATGTTTAAGTTTGAGTTCAAGTAGTAGGATTTGTAGTTCACTGTGAATCACTGAGCGGCGTCTGGAACGGTTTGAGCCCG